CAGCAGGCTGCGCTTTAAGTGCCTCCAGTGCTACATACTAGCGTGGAAATCCAGAGTTTCCCGGTCCAGAAGACGGAAATAGTTTCTGATAGAATGCTGAGATATATTTGAGTGGGGCTCGAAGACAGAGTTGGTGTTTCTTAGTTAATTAGTTCTCTTTATTTGTGGGATAGAAGTTTTTAATTAAGCAAGAGTCGGTGTTCCCCGTGATATACCGAGATAAGTGCAGGAACTCATGATTTTAGCTTTTGGGAATGTTAGCAATACTAACCGAGAACGACATCTTAGGCACCCAGCGATCTCATATAATAAGTGATGGACACCGTGATTTTGTAGATTGCCGCGAAAGTCAAAGCGTATAGTACAATTTAGAATTGCGTATACCACGAAGTATCTGTATTCATCAACCAGCTTCTACTAAATATGGAGTATTTAATATTAGTACATTTATGGACTATATTCGCGAATATCGGTTACCTAATCCAAGATCGTATCCTATGATTACTATGGGTCAGAGATTGATAGCACCTTTGTGGATATTTTCTGAAATCCGCAAATGTTGATCTTCCCATACCCCAGCATAGTGAATATTAGGAGGAACGATTTCAGCGAAGCGACATTACGTTTCAAAACCATGTACAATGTGGCACAAACTTATCATGAGCTGCTGGTGCTATGTGTTGATCCTGTTCTTTTTGTCTGTAGGTGACGGGCAGGTAGAATGAATTCCAGAACTTCTATATGTTAGACGATTGGAAAGAACTTCTTGTAAACAATTCCGACCTAATTTACCGTTCTGGTTATTGAGAAAGTGTGTATTATCTAACGGAAACAGTGGTCATTGACATCTGAACTGGTTTAGAGACGATGGGTTATGGTAGCCTACAACCTCAGCTACAGCGTATCAAGCGAGAGTTCTTTCCAATGCGGGGTATGCCATGAGTGAGCTCAGGGTGAGAACTCCGATGAATGAGCTGAGAAACAGCTACTTCTACTGCACAACCGAGTCGAACGAATATTTGATAAATAGAAAGTGAAACTATTTTTGCGATAATACACTTAAGACCGTTCCTAACCTAAATTAGTAGTGGATGGACGACCTTAGCGGGTCACAAAGTTTCTTTCACGTTCGGTTAAGAATGAACGACATTTTTGGTCAATCAACCATGACACAGGGTGGTTGACATAGTAAGAGGATTAAATCCTCTTCGAGCACCCGCACTCTGAAGAAACGCAACAGGCGCCGGAGAAGGACCCAACACAACCGCAGGAGTAAAAAGATCAAGCGAGGATGAAGAAGGAGCCATGACCAGGAGCACCAGTACAACATGAAGAGAAGACAGCTGACGATGAAGATCAGCCAGTGGTGGTAGTGACGGTTTAGACGTCTGTTCGAAAAGACGCGTATTAACACCAAAAAAGACTGTTTATACGTCTGTTGCCGTCTAAACACAGCAAAAGACACG